TCCTAAGCAGGCTCTGTGCCGTCAGCACAGAGCCCGATGTGAAGCTCCATCCCACAAACCATGAGATCGTGACCTGAGCCGAAGTCAAGAGTCAGACTTTTAATCAACTGAGCCACCCAGGCAGCTGAAGGACTTTTTTTTTTAAGTTTATTTATTTTGAGAGACAGAGAGAGAGCGTGAGTGGAAGAGAGGCAGAGAGGGAGAGAGAGACTCCCAAGCTCAATCGGCTTAACCGATTGAGCCGCCCAGGTGCCCCCAGGCTGCCATTTTGGAAACCAACATGATTCTAACTAACAAGTGGAGGAGGTCAAGTGGAGCCTGGGAGCTGAGGGGCCTAGGAGTACGTTATAGTCACTCAAGGAATGATGAGCAACTGGTCTCTGCTCTAAATTATGTGAAGGACAAGGAAAAGTACTGGAACTGACCCAGGCTCTGCCCCAGGCACAGTGCTTGGGATTGCACACTGCTGAAGGTATTGTATCCAAGGAAACCAGGAATACCTGAATCCTGGCCCAGGGCACAGCTGTCACTAGCCACAGGATTCTCAAGTGCATGACTCCGAATCCCATAAACAACAGCCTGTGCCAGGGGAAGCATAAGGGAGAGAGAGCAATCAAGAAAGCAAGTTCAGGGGCGCCTGGGTGGCTCAGTTCGTTGAGCATCCGACTCTTGATTTCAGCTCAGGTCATGATCTCACGGTTCCTGAGATCGAGCCCTGGGTTAGGCTCTGTGCTGACAGCATGGAGCCTGCTTGGGATATTCTGTCTGTCTGTCTCTCTCTCTCAGAAATAAACAAGCTTAAACTTTATATATATATGGGTGTTCACAATGCTGGGAAGAAAGACCAATGAGACGGTCAAAAGCAGAGGCACTGCCCTTTTTGGCCACTGGTCAGGGGGCTGAAGGGTCACAGCAGAATGGACCCCCAGGTAAGTGAAATGACTATCAGCTGCCTGAGGGCAGGACTGTTCCAAAGAGATGTGTTTTCTCCTGGCCCCAGATAGTACAGTTGATGGCTCTGGGCCCTTGAGGACTTACAGGATCGGCTTACTGATGGAGGCAAAGTAGCTGCTCTTTTCGGGAGCTTGTCATGGGAACCGAGTGCTAAGGGCTTTGTAGGGCCTGTTTCATCCTCACTATAAGCCACGAGGTAGGTACTGTCCTCCCAAAATGTGGAAGTGAGGACAGAAGGGAACCAGACCAAACTGAGACACTGAGAAAGGAGGGGGAAGAAACTGAGAATCTGAAGAACAGGCCTGGGCTATGTAGGGTGGGAGCCAAGACAAAGGAGAATGGAACAGAGGGACACAGAGAGACGTATCAGGAACCGTCTCCTCAAAAAAAAAAAAAAAAAAAAAAAAAAAAAAAAAAAAGCCTCAAGGGTCCAAACAAGCAGCTTTATCCTGCACACCTGTGGTCTCCAAACTCTTCTGCTCACGAACCCCATCAGTGGACAATACGGATGCGTTGATCTATGAATTATGCACAGAAATAGAAATTACAAAGTGGATGACATAACTATATAACTGGAAGCTCTAATATTTCCTTTCTATACCCCGGTGGGTGGTCTTGCCCACAATTTTAAAGTTTTAATCAGAAAGGCAGGGAGTTAAGTCGGTTACGTGTTGGACTTTGCCTCAGGGCATGATCTCATGGTTTGTGAGTTTGAGCCCCACGTCGGGCTCCATGCTGACCGTGCAGAGGAGCCTGCCTGGGATTCTCGCTCCCTCCTCTCTCTCTCTGCCCCTCCCCCTCTCGCGCTTCCTCTCTCCCTCTCAAAATTAGTAAACCTAAAAAAAGGAGTTAATGTTGATAAATAACGATGGCCGCTATTTGCTGGGGGGCTACCGCGTACCAGGTAAATGCTGGGTTATGAGGACGCTAGGTGCCTGCCCCAGGTCAGACACCCTCCTAGCTGAGGCTGTCCGGGGTTGCAGTAGAGGGTGCTCGGCAGGCCCAGGGGTGAGCCTGTCCTGATGTCCCTCTGTCTGTGTCTGCCTCCAGGTGCCATGCCTCTGCAAGTCCTCCTGCTTCTGATTTTGCTGGGCTCTGACAGCAGCCTGCAGCTGCGGGAGACATGGGAGAATGGAACCATTGAGGCCCCGGACCCCCTGCTTGTGCAGGGCCAGAAACAAGTGGAGGAGGACCCAGAACAGGACATGTATGACTATATTGGCACGGACCCTCCAGAAACGCTTTTTACAAATAGACCTGGGCCTGTGTCCCTGACCTGGACATTTCTAGCTGAGACGGCAACATTGGGGCAGAAGGATTCCGGAACTCCTGAACAAGCCACTCTGGTGATAGCCAGAGGGGACTCCGTTGGCCTGGACGCAAGAGGGATGGCCATGGGGGATCTGAGCACGGAAGTGGCCACGCAGGGGGTTCCCGTCACGCTGGGCCCTCTGAGCAAAGAACAGGTCACTGTGTTACTTCCCATCACAGAGGCTTCATCCACAGAGGGGGCTCCATCCACAGAGCTCGCCACCATTGAGGCCCTGTCCACGGAGCCGGCAGCCACAGAGGCACTGACCACACAACCTGCGGCCAGGGGCCCGTCAGGGGCCGACGACCACAAGGCCCTGACCACATATGCGATACAGGGCCGATCCGCAGGGGCCGGCAGCCAGGAGCCTGACCGCACAACCTCATTACAGGGCCCGATCCGGGGCGGCAGCCCTGAGGCCTGACCACACAACCTCTCGCATTACAGAGGCCCGTCCACGGGCCGGCCTTCGACCTGACCACACAACCTGCGATACAGGGCCCCGATCTGGGGCGGCGAACGAGACCCTGACCACACAACCTCGCGACCACAGGGCCCGTCCGCGAGGCGGCGAACCCTGAAGGCCTGACCACACAACCTGTACAGAGGCCATCCAGCGGGGCGGCAGCCCTGAAGGCCTGACCACACAGCCTGTGGCCTGAGGAGGGCCCGTCCAGGCCAGCGGCAGCCTGAAACCACACAAACTGCGGCCTGAGGCTGATCCGCAGGGACCAGAAGCCACGGATGCCCTGTCCACATCCACGGAGCCCACTGCCACAGAGGCCCTGTCCACAGATCCCGCCACCACGAAGGTCCCATCCACAGGTCCTGCGACCACAGGGAGCCTAACCATGGCCCTGCTTGTGCCCTCCGATCCTCACAACAGCACCACCGTGGCAGTAGGCAATTCATCTGATGGCTTCATCAAACAATGGAAAAATAATCAGAATCTTGCCCCCCAGAGCTCCGTGGCCCCCAGCCCCACAGAGGCTCTGGACCGCATCCCTGTGAAGCAGTGCCTGCTGGCCATCCTCGTCCTGGCCCTGGTGGCCACTATCTTCCTTGTGTGCACGGTGGTGCTGGCTGTCCGCCTCTCTCGCAAGAATCACATGTACCCTGTGCGCAATTATTCCCCCACTGAGATGGTCTGCATCTCGTCCCTGCTGCCTGAGGGGGGCGAAGCGCCCTCGGCCACGGCCAACGGGGACCTGCCCAATGCCAAGAGCCAGGGCCTAAAGGCGGGGCCGAGGGAGGGCCGAGATGGGGATGACCTCACCTTGCAGAGTTTCCTCCCTTAACCCCCACCCCTCACCCGCTCATCCATCTGAACAGGACCCTCGCCTCCCTGCTCCCTCCAAGGCCCGCTGGGCCACCACTGAGCACCCCGGCTCTGTTCCACGGGTCCGGGCTTCCTTGGGGCCCCTAGGGATGGGGATCTCTAGGACAGAGCCCCCAGGTGCCCCACAGGAAGGAGAGCAGCTGAACTCTTGCAGCCAAAGCAGGACTGTGGGCAAGCCACCGCATCCTCCCTCCTGCCTCCGGGGGGGCCCGGGGAGATCCCTCCACCTCCCTGTCTCCCACCTGTCTGGGCTCCCTCTGAGGCCTTCCACAGAGGCTGGAGCCTCAACCCCAAGCACCCGGTGAAGCCCCCGCCCTCACGCCCACTTTCTTCTGGTTGCCATGGTCACCACACAGGAAAGGGGGCATTTTGGGGGCGGGAGTGCTGGATTCTGAAGGCCATTCCCTGCCCCTCTCCGACTTGGGGCAGCTTGGGTTTTCTTGGGCATCTCCCCAGGGAGCCCAGGGTGAGATCCTGGCCCGGGAGGGCTGGGACGGGCTGAAATGTCCCACTCCCCAGCCCACGGCCCGGGACAGCGCAGGTGCTCAATAAATATTCGATGAACTAACGGTGGCTGTTTCAGGGCGTCAAGGTGTCTCCTGCTGGGGCTTTGGTCCCTTGCTGTTCACCCCGGCCCCGGCCCGCTCCAGAAACCCCCCCAACCCCCCGGTCTGTGCCTTAAGTTTTCAGTATTGTCTCTTGGACACCGGGGGCATCTTGGTACATCCTTGGGCAGCCGGGAAGGTTGTAGGCCGTTGGGGGGATGGGGAAACTGGTCCCCGAATCCACTTTATTCAACTCCCCCCCACCCCATGACCCAGTTCTGGCATACAGAATTTGGTTCCCGCCCCAACTCTCAGACAAACGCGTCCTCTCAACGTCAGTGCCATCCTCCCCAGAAACTCACCCTGACCTCTCCCGGGGAGCGGGGGGTGGCCTGTCTCCCATTTAACACCCGCTCCTCACAGGGCTGAGCACAGCTGCGGCCTACGAGGTTTTCGAACAAAATTTGGGGCCAGCAAACTTTTTTCTTCAATGGCCAGACCAAAAATATGTGACGTTCTGCAGACCGCGCGGTCCCCGTTGCAACTCGTCAGTTCCATCCTTGGTCCTCGTAGATTGTGTGTGGTCGTTGACGATGTGTCACAAATGAATAGGGTTGGCTGCGTTCTAATAAAACTTTATTTACAAACAAAGCGGCAGGCTGGATTTGGCTCTGTGTTCGCTGACCCCTGATCTGAGCATCGGGTGAGCAGCTGGCCCGGTTTGCGTGGGACTTTGGTGAATGTAGCACCGGGAACCCTATGTTGGGGGAAACTGCTCAGCCCCAGCAAATCAAGGAGTTGGCTGCCCTATTTAAGCAACACTCACCGTGTGCGTGCGTTACCACATTCGGACCCACGCTGACCCCGAGGGTCGGATCAGAAAGCCAAGGCTTCCGCAGTGGCTTCAACAGTAGCTGAGCCCGGGGGCGCCTGGGGGAGCTCAGTCGGTTAAACGTTGGACTTCGGATCTGGTCGTGATCCCACAATTCATGAGTTCGAGCCCTGCGTTGGGCTCTGTGCTGACAGCTCGGAGCCCGGAGCCTGCTTCGGATTCTGTGTCTCCCTCTCTCTCTGCCCCTCCTCTGCTTGTGCGCTCTCTCTCTCTCAAAAACAAAACAAAAACAAACAAAAAAACCCCCAAACCAGTGGCTGAGCCAGGATTCAGACCTGGGTTCTTCTGTCTCTTGATGCTTTTTGATCAGAAGGGACTCCTGCTTTGAGCCCCTGTTCTACCTTCTGGGGGAGGACTACAACTCGTTTTGGTGGACTTTTTCTCTTCTAGAAAAATACCTCCGGCGGCTTCTTTGGGAGTGCCGGACCCTTCAGGGTGAGAGAGAGTTCAAAGACAGGGTGGAGTCTGGGGGGTATTGGCTGAAGCTGGAAAGGGGGTGGGAGAGACCAGGGACAGACAGGAGGGAAGGTGGCGGGCCAGGGGCAGTGGGGGCAGAGTTAGTGAGAAGTGGAGGGCTGTCTGCCCCGCCCCCTGACGCTCTAGAACAAGTGTGACACCCAAGGTGTTCCGGGCACTTTGGTGGGGGAGGGGTGCCCACCCTGGGCCGGGGCAGCTCACCCTGGAAAAGGCAGAATTGTGCGTTAGGGGAATCGTGGGTTTACTTGCCCTTTGGGAGCGATGAGAAAAATCATGTGGGGGACTCGATATCGTGGAGCTGGGGACACAGAGGCTGAAGGACTTGGGGGGCAAGCGTCCCTCTGGGGTCTTGTCACCCTGTCCTCCTGGGTAGGGAGCAGGTCTCCACGTCCCCCCCGCCCCCACTGGAGGACACTGTGACCGCAGAGGGCTCCCCTTGGCGGCTCGCTGGCTCTCTCCAAGGCGCAGAATTGAAGTCTAGGGATGACAGGTGCTTGAAGCAGCCACCAGGCGGCACCCGCCACCGGCTCTTGGAGCTCTTGAAAGCTGGGAGCTTCCCAGAGGACAAAGGAGCAGCAGGGATTGCTGGGCCAGGAGCGCTGCGAACCCGAACCTGGGAGGGTGCTGGTGAGTGTTTAACCTCCAGCCCCTTGGGTGGATTTGTATCCCAGCCATGATTTGCGATGCTTGCCAATTTCCTTGGTGTAAATACCCCCTTGGCTGATTTGGAGCAACCAACTATGTATATAGTAAATGGTACAATAAATGCAAATAATCTCAAGAACATAGAAGAGTAGAATGTAGTAAAATAATTAGGAAGTGGTGAGGTTTGAGTACCGGAGGACCTTGGGTTTTTGTTGTGTTTTGTGTTCATTTATTTTTGAGTCAGAACGGGAAGGGGCAGAGAGAGAGGGAGATGGAGAAGCCCAAGCAGGCTCGCACTGTCAGCACAGAGCCCGATGCGGGGCTAGAACTCACACACTGTGAGACCGTGAGCGGAGCCAAAATCAAGATTCGGACACTTAACCGACTGAGCCACCCAGGCGCCCCGGACCTTGGTTTTTTATAATTTAACTTATTAAACAACTGGCTTACAAAATTCTGAAACTCTAACAGTTGGCCCTTGGAGACTGCTATAGGCTGGCTCCTACGTCCCACTGTGCCCTCCTCCTGCCCGGACCTCCCCTTGGCCTTGAACATCACCACCTGAATCACCCCAACCATCTATTCAGCAAATATATTCTGAGCAGAGAACATCTGCAATATCTCCATGAGTCCCCTCAAACAGCCTGGGAAGGAGGAACTCGTATTCTCATTTTACAGAAGAGGAAACTGAGGCTCAGACAGGCGAAGTCACCTGTCTCAGGCCACCCATAGGATGTGGGACCGGAACGCAAGCCACGTTCCTACCACAGTGCTATGTTATTCTTGAGGTCGCGGTGGGGTTCTGGAGGAATGCCATGCCCCAAGCTCTCACCCCTGCTGACCTGTCCTGGTGCCTGGAAGTCCCCATCAGTCACCCTTGTGGCTCTTGGCTGCCGAGGGAAGGCGCTGGTACTTGGGAGGGTGACAAGCCCGAAGCCAGCTCTCTCCTTGCAGACGGCAGGACTAGCCATGCCGGGGTCTAAGACAAAGAGAGGTGGCCGGGGACATCGACTGGGCAGTCAGTGCACGTGCAACCCCATGCAAACACGTCACCTGCATGACCTACCAGACCTCACAACCACCCCATGATGTGGGTACAATTATTATCCCATTTTACTGCTGGGAACACACAATTATTATCCCATTTTACTGCTGGGGAAACTAAGGCTCAGAAAGCTGGATCACTTGCTCCGGCAGGTTGCTCTGCTAAGAAAGCAGACTGTACTGACTTCAGCTCTGGCGGTGGGGAAGGAAGGAGGGTAGACAGGAAATCAGGAAATGGGGGCGGGGGGTCAGCCTTGCGGTGGTTCTTCTGGAAGCTGATCTGGGCAGAGGCTCGTCAAGCTTGCCCTCCATATCCCTCCCCATGTGCCGCTCTGCCGAGCCACATAACTCGAATGTCAGGGTATGTCCACTCTGTGCTATGTCCCCAGGATGCCATGTGGTTAAGACATGGGATGCCCACTGGGGCTCATGGCCTGGAGGGAGTAAGAGATCTGTCAAATGGT